TTCAGTTTTCGTAGGATTCCCGTGTAATTTTGACCAAATATCCAACAATTAGTAATGAATAACCTTATGAGATATTTCACCTGGTTTTTTTCCTAAATTTAAAGTAGGTAAATATTCCCTTATAAATTTTGATCTCAGGTGATTGAGTCTATTCAATTCACTATCTGCAGGATTTAAAAAATAAAAAATAAAAAATAAAAAACAAATCTTGAATTTAAAGTCGTTTGTTGTTTTCTTTTCGAGACTATTGATCATGTCCAATGTGTGAGTAACTGCTTTCGTTAATTTTTTTTTTATTATTATTTTTTTTAATCTTTGACCAACACATATCCATGTGGGTATGTGTGTGTGTGTGTGAAGGCTAGAACAATCCGTATGTATACGTAAGTATAACTTTTATTTATTTATTTATTGATGGAATATGTACTACAGACAAATATTTAATTAGACTATAGAATTCTTAATTTCTAATAGTTAATTCTTAACCAGTTCAAAGAAATTAAATTAATAACAACACTAATTAGAAACAATAATTTATGCTCTTTAATAAATCATATGCCTTAATTTTGATATTGGTTAAAAAAAATAAAAGAAAATTCCCGACAACACTAAGAAACATTGATTTTATGCTCTTAAATAAATAGTATATGCTTTTTAATCTTGGTTTAAAAAAATAAAATAAAATAAAATAAAGTTGTCTATTCATAAATATAAGTCATAACCTATTTAGGAAAAGGTACATGCTGTTTATTATGACAGTTGATCTTTTTTGGGTGCCAACACATTTTGTATGTCCTTTTGTATAAGCTTTTGGCAAACAATCCCTAGGGTTTGAAATTTAACGCCACGTAAAAGTCAAAATAGAATAAAAATCTCACTTTAATAATCACATGCTTGATTTGACTGAAAATATATATATAGATATTCAACACGTATTTTGCTGGCCATATATTGTGTTAATTAGTAAAATTGTCTTCATACATAAAGTCAAAAAACCTATACGTAAAAATCGCATAGAATATCAAATCAAATTAAAGTGACCTATATTGTTCTTTCATGTGCTTCAATATTGTGCTTCTATTTCACAACATTTTACCAATATTTCATGTTTTTTATGATCTTCAAAAATTTTGTATTAAGTTGAATTAATTCTCTCTCTCTCTCTCTCTCTCTCTCTCTCTCTCTCTCTCTCTCTCTCTCTCTCTCTCTCCATGTAATAGGGGTTTCACAAAGTGGCCGCCAACCGTTGGGAATTTAGCAACAAACTGTTCCGGCGAGGCGAACGTGACAAACTCCGGGAGATTTGCCGGAAAAAGGCAACGTACAGTAAGCCACAGCTTAGGCTGAGTTCCGAGCTAGCTGACGAGCCGCGAATTCTGTCTGCATCGTCAGAGGTAGTCGAAAACCTAATTTGCGAGAACAAGCGGCTTCGAAGGGAAAACAACGTTTTGAGCTCCGAGCTAGCCGCCATGAAGAACAAATTCGAGGAGCTTTTGGATTTGGCGACGGTCTATGGCGAGAGTTCGGACAAACAAGAAGCGGATGAAAACGGGCCGATGGTTTTTGGTGTGAGGTTGGGGGTTTTGAGAGGAGAACGAGAAAAGTGATCATTCTCATTCTAAGCTTTAATTTTGATAGAAACAAAAGTCCATCATATGAGTCTCAAAATCAAAGTGATTCTCATATTTTAAGTAGAAGAAAACAAAGCTAAGTGTTACTTTAGTGTTCTAAAGAGATGGTTATAGTCGTGGTAAATCAAATTGTAGTGTTTTATATACGTCCATGTTTGATGATTATCATGAATGATATTCATAGATAGACGGGCAAATGAGTAAGGTTGCAATTAGTGTTGCTAAATTAAATGAGTGTGGTTCAGTTCTGCTCGAGTTTGGCTCATCAAATGAGCCGAGCTCGAGTTCAAACTCATTTAAAACTCATTTGGTTAACGAACTGAGCTCGACTCGACTCATCTGGAAAAGACTCGTTAAAGCTCATTAAAGATCGAATTCGTCTTGTTATTAATGATAAACGAGTCGAGCTCTAATTGATTTTAGGCTCGTTAATTTAATGAGACGAGCTCAACTCAGCTCGTTAAGAGCTCAAGCTCCAGCAATCTAAGTTCGAACTTGGCTTGTTTGCAGGGCTAGTTGCAATGAGAAGTTGACTATACCGGGAATAGAATTTAATATTCGAATAAAAAGTATAATTATATATCTAATAATGTTTTGGTAACTAAACTAAATTTCAATGTCATATGTACATACTACTCTCCAATGTTTCTTTTTTGAATGGAAAATGCAACTTTGTAAATTGAGAAATGTATGACTAGAATTTTTACATTTTGACACAAGTATGTATTTACCTATTTAATTACCTTATTCAGTAAAAACTTTGGATGAAAACGAATCACACGAATCGTGGGATCTATTATGATGATCATGGTAAGAAAATCTTTAACCTTTTTCCAAGTTGACACGTCTTACCTAGTTAATCTTGTCACGAAATTCTGATACGAAAGAGACGAGATGAATTCGGGAAAATAATCATCTCAAATCTCAATCGGATGATCCAATAACTCTATTAACTAAGTATATATACATAAAATTAGGGCATACATAAAATTAGGGCTACACATATTGATGGATAACCTAAGGCTAATACTGTAAATAAACAATTATACACAATAATAGATTCTTAAATGCAAAAGTTAATCGAGATTTAATCTCCCTAATCTTGAGGAAATTTATCTAACAATCGAGATATGACCTTTTAACCACGACATTATACATTGGTCTGAGTTATGAGCTACAGTACGAAAGTTGTTCACCAGGCCCATAAGATAAATACTTCACATGTTAACAGTTATTTTTTAGCCCAAGTTAGTTGTAGCTTCCAAGCCCAAACCGGACACAAACAGATAGTGTGAATGGGTCAGCTCAAATTCACTACCGCAGCCCAATACACCAACTCCGCGTCGCCGCTCACTGTGAGACTTATTAGCTTTCGCCTCCGCCGCCGTGCTCCGTGCTATCTCCGTCCACGAGTCAGTCACTCGAGGTAAAGTTAGCTTAGTCCAGATAAATATCTAAAACCCTATTCGATTTGAGGCTTGATTTTGCAATTGATTGTGATTTGTGCGTTTGCTTGGCTGTGTCCTTGTTTCTTTCGTTTTCTGTTCATATTATAGCTCAGTTGGTAAAGCAATGTTTTTTTTTTTTTCATGAATTGTTTTATATTGATCCGATTTAAAGGGCTCCCATGTGAAAATACTGTCTGTAATTATCTGATTTTTCACAGTATCATGAAACGCTTGAAGTTTCTCATTAATGTGCTTTCATCTGTGGCTAATGGAACTATAAGTCCCTTGCTATTTTGGTTTATAGAGGATATGTTAAACATTCTATTAAGTGGGAGGGGATGAAATTCGGTTTTGATTTGTCTATGCGCTGTTTAGTTGTGAAGATTGATTCGATTTTGCGTGTAGGACATAGAAAATACAGCAATAAAAAATGGCTGCTACTGGTGGAATGAATGATTTTTCATCAGAAATGGAGGTGGATGCTTTTAGACGCCTTTTTCCTTTACGGTTTCACGAGCGCCACCTTGTTGAATCGATTAGGCCCGACGGTCGGCCCCTTGATAGAGCTCGAGACACGACACTCGTGCTCGGTTAGTCAATTTTGTCAGTCATATTCTTTTTTATCATGCTGCCTTTGCAAAAAATTCACGCCCTTGCTCAAAATCTTATGTTAAAAAATCTAGGAGCTGTGGCATCTGCTAATGGGTCAGCACTGGCGAAGATAGGTTGCACTGTAAGCGTGTATTTTTGTCATTTCTATCGTCATTGCTATTCATTTATTTATTGCCTGTAATTTTCTCGAGTTGTTTGTTGTCTGTGTGAAGTAATTGAATGTTTTCCTGGTCAGACCATGTTAGCTGCCATTAAAATGGAAGTCATGACTCCGACTATGGAGGCACCCGATGAAGGTTGCATAGGTTAGTTCTTGGCTCCAATAGCTTTTCACATTTTTTTTTTTGTTTTTTCGTTTTCTATTTTCTTTTGTAATGGTGTTGGGTGATATTTTTCCAGCCATTGATTTCCACATGCCCCCGATTTGTTCTCCACTCATTCGCCCTGGCAGGCCGGCAGAAATAGCTCCCGTATTAGCTAAACAGTTATCGGACTCCATTTTGAGGCAAGGAAATTACACGACTGTTTTTGTACTGATTATTTGAACATTTTGGGGTATCAAAGGTTTTTTATATTATTGTAGAATGACTACAAGCAGAGGCAAGGCAACCTTTGTAAAATGCTGTTAATTAAGATCGGAAATCTTGAAAAGCAATTTTCTAGCATGTCCAGCTTTTTGTTATTCAGACTTTAACTGTTATTTTTCAGAATTCCTTTAGCTTAAAGCTTAGGTAAAGAGAATAAAAGAAAGATCATAATTAGAATCTAGTTAACATCAGACAGCACATCCTAATATGAACTTCTTGTGGAAATGTGGCTAATTATTACAGTATTCGATATGTTCTTCGTCCAAACAAAAATTTGCAGCTCGTTTATTATTATGCAGCAAAGCAAAACAGTATTTTGTCATCATTTTTCCTCGGTTCTCATATCTTTTAAATGTGGGTGTATCAGTCGGTAGTTTCCTTGAATATAAATATAATTGTCCCACTTTTAGAGCATAATAATAATTTTTCTCTCAACATTATATGCCTAATCCTTCACCATATATGCTCTATATATGCTCATAATTAGTTAAGTTTTGTTCTTTTATGCAGTTCTGGCATGATTGATCTGAAAGAATTATGTCTGGTGAATGGCAAAGCTGCTTGGATGGCGTACTTGGTAAATAGTATATGTCCTCCTTACTGATGGGATTTAATTTAGGAACCTTTCTCACTGTAAAAATTGGTTTGCAGGACATATACTGTTTGGATGCTGATGGTGCCCTTTTTGATGCAGCTTTGCTTTCTGCAGTGGCAGCCTTCTCGCATCGTAAGTTTGTAAAAGGTTCTCGGTTTTTGTAGGATAATTGCAGTATAAATTCTATTCAAGCATTGAACTAAATTTGCATATTTGAGATTGGACTAAATTTATGTATATCAATGCAATTATATTGCAGTGAAAATCCCGATAGTCTCCCTCAATGATGACGGTCGAGTTGTTCTTGTATCCGAGGACAGCAAAGGAAGAGCCACAAAGCAAAGAGAACCCGTCAATAAAGAGAAGAGAAAGCTCAGGCTGAATGTGGTACCATTTGCACTAACATGTGTACTTTACAAGGACTACATTCTGGCCGACCCCACCTCTGAGGAAGAGTCGATTATGGAGACGTGTCTAACCGTGGTACTCAACTCGTCTTTTCAGCTCGTCTCGTTTAATAAACCTGGTGGGCCCGGTCTGGCACATACATCAGCAATCCAGGTGAATTTTTCGCCTCTATTTATTTTCCTTTTCTCTTAACATCCTTCTATACTGAAACGTAAAACATTATATCTGATAATAGGTCGAAAATCAGGTCTTCTGAAAAAAAAAAAAACATCTTTCAAAGTTACAACTAACCGAGGTTTTCCAAATAACCGGTTGAGGTTTGTATTTTCTTTATTAATTAATGCCTCTGTCCAAAATGGATTGTGCACTTATAAGGAATCCATGACATGCTTGCAGGACTGCATATCGTTAACGAGACAACGAGTGAAAGAACTTGAGAAGATTCTGAATGAAGCAATCTCTGATATGGAAGTCGACTGAGAAAATTTGTGCCGTAACCGATATTAGTCGTTAGAGCTTTTTAATCGTTTGTTTTTGTAGAAAAAAATGAAATGCCTCGTATAGGTTTGGAGATGTGTTCATACTTCATAGACCTTAGCATTGTTTGTCAAGTTTTGATTTTGTCTTCTCAGCTTTTATATATTTGCTGGAAAATGTTGACAAGTGCCTAGTTGTGTCAGGATTATGAATAGCATTGTGAGAGATTTTTCATTCATCTTGACTTCAGTTTCTTAGAACTTACATAGAATATTTGTCAAGAAAATGAAAGAATACTACAATAAAGATGTTTCAATAATAATATTCCTATTATCACTTGGGCCCGCTACATACAGCAGACCAATATAATACCGGGCTTATACTATTGTTGGGCCGAGCCTATTAAAGACCGAACTACTATTCCGAGCAACCAATGTAAATGTTGGACCGAGCAGTTATAAATGAACCGAGCAGGTGTTATAACAATTAAACTGAGCTGGTGCTATAACAACTAGGCCGAGCAGGTACTGGTATATTATCAACTAGACCGAGGAGGTACTAACTAGGCCGAGCAGGTACTGACTTATCAACTAGATCAAGCATGTGCTAACTAGGCCGAGCAGGTACCGACATATCACTAGACCGAGCAGGTGCTTTAACAACAAGGCCGAGCAGGTGCTAACTAGGCCGAGAAGGTGCTATAACAACTAGGCCGAGCAGGTACTGGTACAACAACTTAGACCAAGCTATTAGTTGACGGTTTATTGAGTCGCTCTTATGTGTTATATCATCTAGTCACCCCATTATCAAAAGAACTATAGTTTTGTAAATTTCCATAGACTTGTTTGATACTGCTATGACGAGCTAATGCGCCTCGCTGCTAGGCCGAGCTGTTTCTAGGCCGAGCTAATGGGCCTCTTTGCTAGGCCGAGCTGTTGCTATGACGAGCTAATGAGCCTCTCTGCTAGGTCGAGTTGTTGCTATGATGAGTTAATGGGCCTCGCTGCTAGGCCGAGCTGTTGCTAGGCCTAGCTATTGCTAATGGGCCTCTCTGCTAGGCCGAGTTGTTGCTATGACGAGCTAATGAGCCACGATGCTAGACCGAGTTGTTGCTAGGCCGTGCTGTTGCTATGATGAGCTAATGAGCCTCGATGCTAAACCGAGTTGTTGCTAGGCCTTGCTGTTGCTATGACGAGTTAATGGACCTCGATGCTAGAACGAGCTGTTGCTAGGCCTAGTTGTTGCTAGGCCGAGCTAATTGGCCTCGCTGCTAGGCCGAGCTAATGTGCCTCGCTGATAGGCAGAGCTAATGTGCGTCGTTGCTAGGCCGAACTGTTGCTAGGCCGAGTTGATGCTATTCTTACTAAAAAGCACTTACCGTCCATGAATTATGCTTTCTTCTGTCTGGTTTGCCGAGCTATTCTCATATGTTATATCATCTAGCCCCCATTATGAAACGAGTTATTGCTTAACGAGCTTCAGTAAACTTGTTTGATAATTATAATAATATCGGTAGTAAATATATGTACGTTTTCACTAAGTACTTTTAGCCCGTCTTTATGTTAAATCCTCGTTTATTGAACACCATGTCTTTACACGGGCACCGCGATGTCACAAAGCGAGCTCATCATCACATGAGTTCGGTCTTTTTAAAACTTGCTTAAGTACTCCGTGTGTTTTGCATTACGTGCACATATTCTCCGAGCCATGACTGGGTTCATAATACCCATAATTAATAGCTCGCTTATACCCTCCAATATTCCTGTGCAATATGGAACAACTCCTTCTCTAACCAAAATCTCGTTAAGCATAAATAGCTAGGTTATTGTCTAAGCAACACCCGCACATAAAGAACTCGGGCTTGTCCGAACGACACCCAAACAACATAAAGAGCTCGGGCAATTGTCAAAGCAACACCCGGACATAAAGAGCTCGGACTTGTCCGAGCGACACCCAAACAACAAAAAGAGATCGGGCTTGTCCAAGCGACACCCGAGCAACATAAAGAGCTCGGGCTTGTCCGAACAACATGAAGAGCTCGGACTCGTCCGAGCAACACTCGAACACCATGAAGAGCTTGGACTTGTCCGAGCGACACCCGAACAACATAAATGAAATGCTTCATATAGGTTTGGAGATGTGTTCATACTTCATAGACCTTGGCATTGTATGTCAAGTATTGGTTTTGTCTTTTCAGCTAATTTTATATATTTGCTGGAAAATGTTGACAAGTGCCTAGTTGTGTCGGATTATGAATAGCATTGTGAAAGATTTTTCATTCATCTTGACTTCAGTTTCTTAGAACTTATATAGAATATTTGTTAAGAAAATGAAAGAATAATACAATATTCTCATCTATTTGTTTCTATAAAATTTCCACTGACGCGATAAAAAATAATAAATAAAAATCATTACGACATACTTGTATTTTTCATATTAACAAGTTCCTTATTAATTAGTGTTTACTGTTTTTATTACACTAATATTTTCAACTATAAAGTATAAATCATATCAATTAGTATTTACTATTTTATTACACCTGATATGGCATAGGAGGATGGTTTGTAGTGTGCTGAAGCTGAGCCGGTTTTAACTTGTTATTTTTTTTGCCTAGCTGGATGGTTTAGGGAGCTCGGCCATTGCAGGGGTAGCAAAAGCTAGCTAGCCCAGTCAAGAGCTCCGAGCTACCAGGTCGGCTATGAACTCCAAGGTGCCAGGCGCGTTGCCATGGTGGGCCGAGCTGAGGAGATAGGTGATGTAACATAGCATGGAAAAGAGTAGCTCGGCAGACATGTGACGTAGCGTCGGCGCGTATGCTGGAATAGCTCAGCATGTACATCACCTAATCGGTTTAGTAAGAACGGCGAGCTCGTGTAGACTTGCGAGCTATGCGGGGGTAAGATCGGGTTCAGGAGCTCGGTTTTCAGTTGACCTAGCAGGCCAAAGAGAGGGGCCGAGCTCAACACAGCTCGACAGGTCATGGGAATGCACGACGAGAATGTAGGGAGATGAGCTCGGCCGAGGTGGTAATGCCATGGCACGGTGT